AGCTGGTCAGATTGATAACTTTTTTTTTCCTGTTGTGATAAAATATATCAGTAAAAGCAACTGAAAAGAGAAAGAACTCACATTGTGAAATTGTCCATCATTGCAAAAATCAAGGTGGGAGGAGCTAATTTAATAACATCCACAATGAGGAGCAGAGAGCAATGAATTACCACATGCTAATACTCACTTCTCATTTTCTTTCAGCACAGCCCATAAAATAGTGCCACCAACATTCATGGTGGGCATTCTCATCTAATTAAACAGACTAAGAAAATCCCTCCAAAGCATTACTATAGTCCAACTTGAACTATTCAGGTCCCCATTGAGACTCTTTTCTCAGGTGATTCTAGATTGTGTCAAGTTGAAAGTTTAAACTAACACTCACAACCACCAGCATCAACCATCACAAACAGCACCAGGATAGAACCTGAGCTATTCAATTCCATGTCCTGCTGGTTGAAAATCACAGGACCTCTTTCAGCCTCTGCTGTCTTCACTTACAAAGTGTTAAACCTTAGGTCTTCTTTACAGAGAGCACAGGAAAGGAAATCCAACGTTATTAGTGAGATGGCTACCTCATACAAATGCTTTTGCCCTCACATCTCTTATCAAGGTTTCATTTTTATTGGGCAGACCCTCTGTCTGCTAGTTTAGGAGCTCAAATTCACATGACACAGAATGGTATGCACAAGTTTGACAACTAGAGAATTGATTGAAACTTCTGATTAGATATGCAAATTTAGAACAAGATCTAAGCTTCATGCCAAATTTTTCATCAAAACCACATGAAAGCTTCTCTTAGAATATTTTAGATCAAAGCAAAATGAGAACTTTTTTTACACTAGTTTAAGAAAGAAGAGGCAAACATATTGCTCGAGAACAGATGCTTGTCATACCCTTAAACAGAGATTCCTTTTGGCTAAAGGTTCACTTGACTAGAATACTGTTGACTATTACTTATCAAAATAGTATTTTAAGACCTATGAAGACAAGTTCAGAGAGCAGGGACTTATCTCAAATTCATTACTTTTTAAATAATTCAACAAGTCTAGATGTGAGAATCAGTATCTACCCACCTCAGATTACAAGTAAATGATAGATGGGAAAAAAGGCACTGCTTTCTCTCTCTCTCCTTTTAAAAAGACATCTACTCCTTTATGTGTTCAAGACAATTGCTTCCTTTTATGAATATAGACCCAATAATCCTTAACAATAAACCACCAAAACAACATATAAAAAGATTAAACACAAGGATCAAATGGATTTTACTCCAGAAATTCAAGGCTGAGCAACATATGAAAACCAGTCAACATGATGCAACATTAATGCCATACAATATCAAAACAATAAAAGAAAAAATCCAAATGGTTAGTTATCTCAGTAAATTCAAAAAGGCATTTTCCCAAATTCACAGTCTTTCATGATTTAAAAAGGAAAAGAACACGAAAATGTAATAATATGAAGAAATTTCCTCAGTGTAGATCAGAGACCCAAGTTTCAGAGCCAATACTATGAAACTGTTTAGAGTAAGCACACAAAAATATGCATGACTTTGGATTAGACACTGGTTTCTCAGACAGGATATCTAAGCACAAAGCAAGAAAAAAAATAGATTTGTAAAACAATTTGTGCTTCAAAGCATACAACCAAACCAAATGGGAGATCATATTTGCAACTCACATATCTAATAAGGGACTTCTAACTAATATATGTAACAGTAAC